GCCAGCAGGCGTGGGGCAACGAACCTGGCGGCGAGTCCAGCGCGGGCGGCTGCGAGAGGCTGGCAGGCGCTTCCGTGGCAGGCGGGAGGCGTTTCCCTGCCTGCGGAGGAGCTCAGGGCTCGACCCAAACGGTGTTTGACGGGAGGCGTCTTCGAGGTACGAGAAGCGAGCTGGACTTTGCGGCTGAATCTGCATCATATCCAACAGCCTCTTACTAATAGAGGGTCGCGCGCTGCATCTGGCTAATCGTTCGCGGATTCATCAATTCCTCAAAATAGCGATTTCGTTTTAGAGTTATGGGGCCACGAAGCGCTCTACTGAGTGAGTGAAATTGCCAAATTGGGCTTCCTGGGGGCTTCGGTGGGGAGCCCCCTATGGGGCCACGAAGCGCTGCACTGCGAGGGTGAAAATGCCAAATTGCATTTCCCGGCCGCATGCGGACGGTGGCACTGGGGCGTTGGGTGGAGCCCCCTATGGAGCCACGAAACGCTACACTGGGTGGGTGAAAATGCCAAATGGGGCTGCCGGGACGCATGCGGACGGGGGGCACTGGGGTTTTCGGTGGAGCCCCCTATGGGGCCACGAAACGCTGTACTGGGTGTGCGGGACGCATGCGGACGGTAGCACTGTGACCTTCGGTGGAGCTCCCTATGGAGCCACGAAGCGCTGTGCTGGGCGTGCGGGACGCATGCGGACGGTATCACTGGGACCTTCGGTGGGGCTCCCCATGGAGCCACGAAACGTTGTGCTGGGTGGGTAAAATGCAGGGAGGAGGGGAAGGAGGGCCACGAAACGCCGCACTGGGTGTGCGGGACGCATGCGGACGGTAGCACTGTGACCTTGGGTGGAGCTCCCTATGGGGCCACGTAACGCTGTACTGGGTGTGCGGGACGCATGCGGACGGTAGCACTAGGACCTTCGGTGGGGCTCCCTGTGGAGCCACGGAACGTTGTATTGGGTGGGTGAATCGCAAGGAGGAGGGGGAGGAGGGCCACGTAACGCTGTACTGGGTGTGCGGGACGCATGCGGACGGTAGCACTGGGACCTTCGGTGGGGCTTCCTATGGAGCCACGAAGCGCTGTGCTGGGCGTGCGGGACGCATGCGGACGGTATCACTGGGACCTTCGGTGGGGCTCCCTGTGGGGCCACGTAATGCCGTATTGGGTGGGTGAATCGCATGGAGGAGGGGGAGGAGGGCCACGAAACGCTGTGCTGGGAGTGCGAGACGCATGCGGACGGTGGCGGGAGAGGGGGGGGAGGAGAGGAGGAGAACGCGTGGACCGTTATTTCAAAAGAGGACCCAACACCACAGGATGGTTGGAAAAAAGGAGTTGAGGAGGATTTGGGGATTGGGGGTTTCTATAATGGAAAAAGAGGAGTTAGGGATGATGTGGGGATTGTGAGGATGCTTCACAGGAAGAACAAGGAGTTGGGGAGGACGCTACAAACGAAAAAGGAAGAGTCGGGGAGGATTTGGGAATTGGGGAGAATTCTACATAAAGAACAGAAGAGTTGGGGAGGATTTGGGAATTGGGGAGGATTCGATTGAAGGAAATAGAAGGTGTTGGGGAGGATGAGGGGATCGGGGAGGATTCTGCAGAAGAAGAAAAAAAGGGTTGGGGACGATCTGGGAATTGGGGAGGATTCTACAAATGAAGCAAGAAAAGTTCGGGAGGATTTGGGAATTGGGGGGGGTTCTACAGAGGGGTGGGTGACGCATGTGGGCGGTGGCACTGTGGCCTTCGGTGGAGCCCCCTATGGGGCCACGAAGCGTGTGAGCGGTGTGCCGAAACGGGTGTGGGTGACGCGTGCGGGCGGTGGCACTGGGGCCTTCGGTGAAGCTCCCTATGGGACCCCGAAACGTGTGAGGGGTCAGCCGAAATGGGTGTGGGTGACACATGCGGGCGGTGGCATTGTGGCCTCCGGTGGAACTCCCTGTGAGACCACGAATTGTGTGAGTGGTGTGCCGAAATGGGTGTGGGTGACGCATGCGGGCGGTGGCGCTGGGGCCTTCGGTGAAGCTCCCTATGGGGCCACGAAGCGTGTGAGGGGTGTGCCGAATGGGTGTGAGTGACGCATGCGGGCGGTGGCACTGGGGCCTTCAGTGGAGCCCCCTATGGGGCTACGAAACGTGTGAGTGGTGTGCCGAAATGGGTGTGGGTGACGCATGCGGGCGGCGGCACTGGGGCCTTCAGTGGAGCCCCCTATGGGGCCACGAAGCGTATGACGGTTGTGTCGAAATGCGTGTGGGTGATGCATGCTGGCGGTGGCGCTGGGGCCTTCGGTGGAGCCCCGGGCTCCCTATGAGGCTACGAAGCGCCGTGCTGGGTGGGTGAAGCGCAGGGAGGAGGGAGGAGGGGGAGGCGGGAGGAGGAAGAAGGAATGAAGGAAGGAGGAGACGCGGAAACCGGTTTCAAAACGAGGACCCAACATTACAGGATGGTTGGGGATGAAATGTTCTCAACAACAAGTGGAAGAGATGCGAGCCCAACAAGGACCTCAATATGGCTCCAGGAGCGCCCTGATGGCTGCCGAAAATGACGATTTCGCTTAGGACACCCTCGAACAATGAACACGTATAGCAGCATCGTTTTGAAATCTGCTGTTCTACTATAGTTTTGGGATCGCTCTTGCACAGGCTTCTAGACGGCCCAAACCAGGCTTCTACAAATGACGATTTCGCGAGGGACATCCTCAAACAACAGATGTGTGTGACATCGCATTGCCATACGTTTGATGGCATCGAGCAAACGAGCCCCAAACAAGGCCCGATATGACCCCAAGAGCGCCCTTGAGATGCCCCAATTTTAGCATTTCGCTCGATACATCCTCATCAGCATGAGTTGTTCGCAACACCGTCTTTCACACAAGCAAGCATATCGCCTGAGGCATCCACCAGAACATGAAATCCGCGAGTTTAACAAACGTATGGTAATGGGGATATCTCCTGATATATCCTCGAACAAATGAGATGCTGGAAAAGCTGATTTCAGATAATGCTTGTTAGAACTTAGTTTTCCGCCTGAGACATCTTCAGAACATGGGCAGAACCACGGCAGCCCAACACGCAGAAACACAGCAGAACGAGCGAGAGCACGGCAGAACACACAGGGGCACGGCAGAACACACAGACGCACGGCATAACCCAAAAAACCACACGGGAGCACGGCAGAACAAACAACAGCATAGCAGAACACCCAGGAGCACGGCAGAACACACAGGAGCACATCCGTAGCCATTTTGGCTCAAGGCCATGGAGAGCCCGACGACCGCGAGTCGTTCGCGGCGGTCTGAGCGCGAGGGTGTCCGCGCTTTGGGCTAGTGCAAATTCTTGTCGTGCTTCTTGCTCTCGCAGCGTGGGGGCGTAGCCCAGCGGGCAGCGCAGCGGGCGCCATGGCGAGGTCCCAGCGCGGCGGCAGCAGTGGCAGGCGCAGCAGGACCTATTGGGTGTGCGGCTGCGGTAGTTGGAACTGGGGCTGGCGCTCCACGTGTCTCAGCTGTGGGTATGCCGCACCGCCCTGGGCGCTGGGGTCACCCCGCGGCAAGGCGAAACCCGAGGCAGACAAGGACGGCTGGGTGGACCAGCCTCGGGGGCGCCGTGCCCAGCGGCAGGCCCGCAGCGCAGCGTCGCGCACGGCATCCACCAAGTCGCAGATTTCGGCTTCAGCGGCGAGTGGGGCGCCCAGCAGCGGAGGAGTCACGGCGATCGAGAGGCTGCAGGCAACGGTCGAGCGGCTCGCGGCGCTGCAGGCTGGGCCACCCGACGGCGCCGACAGCTGCTTCACGGACGTCGTGGCCAACCAGCTGGAGGCGAAGAGGGCAGAGTTGGCCAGCGCCCAGAAGGAGGCAGCGGAGCAGAAGGCCTCCGCAATGCCGCGGTCGGCTCTGCTACACAAGGAGGCGAGCGCCATCAGCAAGGAAGAGAAGCGGCTCCGCTCAGCCCGCCAGGCCCTCGAGCAGAAGCAAGCGGCGCGGGACCTCGCTGAGGTCCAGCTGCAGAAGGCCCAGGACGAGCTCGCGGCGCTCGACGGCGAGGTGGAGGAGGCCAGCAGGGCGCTCCAGGTCCTCGAAGAAGCAGCCCGTGGGGGGGCGGAGGAGCGGCGGCGCCAGCGCGCAGCCGAGTGGGCTGGAGCCAGCCATGTGCCAGGCCTCCTCACGCAGCTTTACATGCTGCCAGAGGCATGGGGCTCCAGCAACTTCGAGGTGGCATGGGCGGCCATGCGCACCCAGGGAGCTGGCGCAGCTCGATGCGGAGGTGGAGGAGGCCAGCCGTACGCTCCACGCCCTCGAGGAGGGGGCCAGAGTGGAGGCCGCGGCGCAGCTGCGCCAGCGCGCAGCCGAGCGGGCAGGGGCCAGCCAGGTCCCAGGGCTCCTCATGCAGCTGGACAAGCTGCCCGAGGCCCGGGGCCCCAGCAACTTCGAGGTGGCGTGGGCGGCCATCCGCTCCCAAGCGGAGGCAGTGCGCGCGCAGCTTGCCGAGGCCCCTGCCGCCCCGAGGAGAGCGCCCTGGGCGGAGTCGTGCCCCATGGACGAGATCAGCAGCGAGGGCGGCGACCACGCAGGAAGCTGCAGGCCCTGGCAGCCGCAGTGTGCCGCGGAGCGTGGCCAGGCCGAACGACGCGGCGACGCCCGCGGTGAGTGGCCGAAGGTCGCCCAGGCGTGCAAGCGGGAGCTGGCGGCCGAGGCTGAGGACCTGCCCCCTCTTGCTGCTCGCCCTGCTCGCCGCGCCGCTGGGAGTTGCGGCGGGGGCCAGAGGCCGCAGCTGTCGTGCGCGCAGCCACGCCAGGGGCGCTTTGCATAGGCAGCTGGAGGGCGGCGGCGCGGAAGCGGCCCGCTTCGGAGGCGCGCGGCCCCTCGTCCTCGGGGGTGCGCGGGCCCCGCCGGCGCCGGGCCAGGCTGGGACAGCAGCTCAGGGTGTCCGCTGCGGGCTGGAGGAGTTCGGGGTCAACGGCAACGCATGGAAGTGGATCCTGGAGGAGACCGAGGCCTCGGGCTCAAGCAGCGGGGCCCCGCCGCGCCTTGTAGGGCCCCTGGCGACCCACCTGGCTCCACGCCGCCTGGAGGAGGTCAGAGGAGAGCGGCGCGTGGGATTTACGGCGTTCCTCCACGCGTCGGCGCCCACGGACAAGGAGG